AGAGAGGGTTAAACCAAGCTACTCCTTGGAGGCAAGGATTCTGGGGCTTTGTCTGACACACTTTGGACATGTTGCAAGGAGGGACAGGTCCTTGGAGAGGGACATCATGCTTGGGAGGGTGGAAGGACAGCACAAGAGGGCAAGACCCTCTATGAGATGGATTGATTCAGTGACTGGGGTAATCGGGATGGGTGTGTCAGAGGCAGTGTGATTGGCACAGGATAGAGCAAGGTTTAGGGCTGTTGTTGTACATAGGGTCACTATGAGTCACAAATGACTCGACTGCACATAACAACAACAACAAAAACATACCATATTTTAATACATTCGCTTTTACTTTCTTGAAAAAGCATAATTTTACATAGCTGTAATCATAGTATAGATGCATTTGTATACTCTAATTTTATGATCACAAATATAATGAATGCTTATTGAGCGCTATTTGGAGAGCTCGAAGAAGAGAGAGAGAAAGAGAGAGTATTTTACTCAAATGTGTGTTCCTACATCTACTGCCAAAGAAGGAGAATTTGAGAATTTTTTACCAAATTTTGCAGCCTGAAATTGGCTGAACATGCAGTCAGGATGTCTTAATGATAATTGGTGACTGGAATGCAGAAGTAGGAAACAGTGAAGAAGTAACAGCGGTTGGAAAATACTAGTTTGGTGAGAGAAATGAAGCTGGAAATACAGTGATTTCATTTTATATTTACAGTGATTGATTTATTGCAAATACTTTTCCCAAAAGACACAAAAGACGACTCTTTACATGTGAATTTCACCTGATGGGCTGCATAGGAATCAGATTGACTACATTTGTGGAAGAAATTATTAGAGAAGCTCTGTACCAGCAGTCAAAACTAGGCCAGGGGCAGACTGTGGGTTAGATCATTAATTATTCATATGCAAGTTCAAATTGAGGCTGAAGAAAATGAAAATAAGTCCACAGGAGCAAGATATTATTTTGAATCAATTCCATCTTAATTTCATGATCATCTTAAGAACAAGTTTGAGGCATTGGACACCAGTAATAGAAGACCAGATGAGTTGTGGGATGATACCAAGGATATCATCCATGAAGAATGCAAAAGGTCATTACAAAAACAGAGGAGAAAGAAAAAATAGAAATGGATGTCATAAGAGATGCTAAAGATTGCAGTGGAGCATCAAGAAACCAAAGCTAAAGGAAAACATGTCGAAGTGAATGAGATGAACAGATGATTTCAAAGAATAGCTCGGAAAGACAAAGCAAAGTATTATAATGGAATGTGCAAAGAGATGGAATTGGAGATTAAAAAGGAAAGAACTCACACTGCATTTCTCAAGCTGAAAGAACTGAAAAACAAATTTAAGCCTTGTGTCGTAATATTGAAAGATGCCACAGGCAATATATTGACTGACCCAGAAAGCACCAAAAGAAGATGGAGGGAATACACAGAGTCACTGTACCAGAAAGAACTGATGGACATGAAAAATTTCAAGAGGTACCATATGAACAGGAGCCAATGGTAATGAAAGAGGAAGTGGAAGCTGCATTTGAAAGCATTGGCAAAAAATAAGGCCCCAGGAATTGGTGAGATACCAATTGACTTGTTTCAAGTAACACATTCAGTCTCAGATGCACTCACCAGTCTATGCCAGGAAATTTGGAGGCCAACTGTCTGGCCAATGGATTGGAAGAGGTATATATTTGTTTCTATTGCCAAGAAAGGTGATCCAACTGAATGTGGAAATTATAAAACAAGATCATTGATATCAAGTTCAAGCAAAATATTGCTGAAGATCATTCAAAAACAGCTGGAACAGTCCATAGATAGGGAATTTCCAGAAATTCAAGTGGAATTTAGAAGAGGCTGTAGCTGAAGTCACTGCTGATATCAGATGGATGCAATGGGGAAAATCTGCAATCAGGGATCTTTCCAAATTATTGAGGAGTAGTGATATCAGTTTGAAGACTAAGGTGCATCTGATTAAGGCCATGGTCTTTCTGATTACTAACTATGTATCCGAGATGTGGACAACAAATAAGGATGACATAAAAAAAAAATCGATGCCTCTGAGCTGTACAGTTGAAGAAGAGCACTGGACATTGCATGGATTGCCAAGAGAATGAACAGATATGTCTTGGAGATGGTGCAGTCAGAGTGCTCTTTGGAGGCAAGAAATGAGGCTTTGCCTTACATACTTTGGACGTGTTGCTAGAAGGTGCTATTCATTGCAGAGGGACATGATGTTGGGAAGGGTGGAGGGTCGGCAAAGGAGAGGAGGACCCTCAACCAGGTGGATTGAAATGGTGATGGTTGCAATGGGTTCCTGTGTGTCAGGAAGTATGAGGATGGCGGAGGATAGGCCTGAGATTTTTTGTTCATAGGGTCTCTATGAGTCGTAATCTACTCAACAACACCTAATA